TATTCTACAAACGAAAATAATAAGAAGACAGAAAAACTTCACTGATTAGCGATATACAATATTTCCATAATTCCTGATAATAATATAACAGAACTGATTTACTTTCGTCCTAAAAGGGATGTTTCCTCCCAACAACAAATATTTTTTGTCATTAACAAAAATCTATAAAAGACATGACGAGAAAAAGGTTAAACAAGATATTATTCCCATCAGATGGGATTTTAACTGAAGTATTCAGTGTTCGTTAGGGAGCTTCGCTAAGTTATGGCAAGAACTCCATATCCGTTACTTCGTTTCTTTATTCATATTGATTTTTACAAATTTTTGTATTTGTCCGCACAACAAGACTTAACTCGATGGTTCTTTAGGTGCTGATGGAAATAGTAGTAAAAACCGTAATCAAAATTCGTTCAAATCCTAAATTGCATCGTAATGAAATTAGTAATGGTTTTTGACTTACAGCTATAGAAATTATTTAATTTGTTTGCAAGCAATAAATTGAATGTTTTTTTTTTCGCCTTGAGTGGGAGACGTATGTTAAATTTGTCGTCCTATATGTTAAATTTATGTGTATTTTTGGGAGATGGGCTATGAAATTTCATTTATCGGGAAAATAAGTTTGCTACGATGAGAGCACTTAATGGTCTCAGTCTCTCTGATAAGCTTAGCGATATGATTTATAACGCATAAGACTGACTATTGGAGAAATGAAAGGCTACGATCTGTTCAGATGTTCGAAAGTTTAAAAACAACTTACGTACACTACTTGTAGCTACAAATAATTTCTTGATAAGTGTTCAAAGTTCGTCCAAGATGAGTACACCAGGTTTCCTTGTCATGCATATAAACGTATATATATATGTATATATGTATATATATGTATGCAATTTCATGTTTTCGCCATTTTATTTTATTTGGCCGGGGAAAAATGTATGTATAATGATTTCATAATTCTTTACGTTGTTCTCGTCTTCTATTCTACACATTCATTCATTTGTTATGAACCCTTTCTGGATTTAGAGAGTTTGAGTTGTTTTCTTTTTTCGTTTTGCTTTTATATCAAATTGAATTTTCTAGTTTAAATTGCACTTTTGGGTTCTTTGACCTATAAAAAAAAAAAAAAAAAGAAGTAAATAAAAATAAAAAGAAAAAAATTCAAATAAAAAATAACAAATAAACTCCATTATTATTAGCTGTGTAAACTTTTCAGTAAACTAAAATTGAAAAAACATATCTGCACAGTGGGACAAAAGGAAGGGAAAAACAGAATTATATTGTAGTTTTTGACCCTTCAACAGAGTTTGTTGATTTATGTCCTTTTAAATCTCACACACAACATTCATTTCGTTGTCCCTACATATATCTTTTTCGTTTTCTCTCCTTCATTCTCGTCCTCTCTCTCTTTCTCTCTCTCTCTCTCTCTCTCTCTCTCTCTCTCTCTCTCTCTCTCCCTCTCTCTCTGTCTTTCTATCTTCCCGTTTATCTCATCAAATCCTTTCTTTTTGTCATTCCCTTCAAACTGCATCACAGATTTATACTTGTCTCGCAAGGTATATAAACGTTACATGAGCTACTTACTTAGTTATTTCAGCTTTCAGTCTCCTCTTACTTGATAAAGGTATGATGTAAGCAGTTATATAATAACAAAAGGATGTAAACTAAAGCTTGTGTTTATGTAGGCGAACATTACTAGCGAGCATAGTATTGTATATAATTTCAATTTTTTCAAATTATAAAACTTATGTTTGTAACACAAAGCCAGACAGATAACTACAGGAGGGAGGAATAATAAAGAAAAAAAAAAAAAACAAAAATGAAAGGATTTATTTTTAATAAACTGCTTACATATATTGCAAATATCTTCGATTGTCTTTTGACTAAAAAAAAAAATGAATAAATAAATCAATAAAAAAACTTCACATGATTTCGAAATCTGGATGACATCGTAATTAAGTTTTTTGCTTATTTTGGGTAAAAATCATATGTCTTCCCGCCCAGTCCTTAAGGGTAACTTCAAGCCGCAAAAAAAAAAACATCAAACTCATTTCACAAACATCGAGCTCCAGTTAAGACCCTATGAATTCTTTGTAACTCTTGTGCTATATTTTACTTATTTGTGTATAAAGTGTTAAACCACACTTGTAATCATAAGAAATTGCATAACATACATAAACTCATAATGTCTCTTAAAGATTCTAGACTGTTTAGACCGGAGAAGATTAGCATTATTGCGTAAAAAGTAATTTTCTCTTCCTTTACATCTTTTCTTAACATTGCAGTTATTCTCGTTTTGTTGTTTTTGTATATTGAAGTGAAAGTATTCGTTAGGTTTAAGCTTACCAGACTCTGCCAGACTCTGTATTAATAGCTTTTGTCCATAAGGCATATCATTCAGTTATCGTTATTTGCATCATTATCGCATTCATTATTCATTGTCAAGCAATGCTTCTTAAGTTGAGAGAATTATGTTGATTAGAAAGGGCAAGACTAAACAGCATGAAATCAAATTTGCCTTTATCAGGTTATATATGCAATGTCGTCTACTAAAGATGTCAAACAAAATTTTAATCCTTTTAAGTGCTAATATCAAATAAGTTGTAAAAATAAAATAAGAGAGAACGAGAGAGAAATCATAATAGCTGGACAACCCAATATTATTCACTGTTCGCTGACAGCATTCATATCATTGGCGTGAACAAAATCTTGAAACTACCTTGATAAGTATAAGAACGCTTGTCTACCGGGACCGACGCCTCGGTCAATTCACTTATTTATGCGGAACGGATTACGGAAAAAGATAACACTCCACTTGCTCTGCGTGTTCAGTTGACTCACTAAAACGCCAGATTTCACGAATAAAATGTAGAGAACGTCATCTGTTTACTCACTAACCGATAGTTTTGACCGTCACTTTCTCTTTATAATTTTCTAACCTTAAATTTGTATCTTTTTGTATCTGTATTCTCTTAGCTCGGTAGACTTGCTAGCTTAGCTAAGCTTTGGTTTCTACTATGATCTACTTGACTTTTTAACTCTACTCGAGTAGCGTGGAAGGGAAAAAGGACAGCCTCTCATCTTTGATCGCCAGGTTGTCGCCCTCGAACGTTGCGAGATCTAAACCAAGAACCAGATGATTGTGACTGAGGCTCTCCAAACTCGTTGTTCATCTAATCTTTTTATGTCTATCTTAGACCTATCACCCGCCGAGAGCCGTCTTCTCTGGGAAGCTTTGATGCATTCAACGTATATACTAGACCGCGTCACATCAGATCACACAAACATTATTTTTTTTCCTGTTTGAAGAACTCTCTTAATGACGTAAAGCAAAAGGGGGCTGTCAAAATTACTTGATTCAAACCGCCGAGCAAGGAAAGAGGATATTCGACATTGCTTCGGTGAAATTCAGCCACACTTATGCAAAATGATCACGGTAAACTTTGAAAAAAGAGTGCGGCTGTGTCCCCATAGCCGCGGAGGCCATTTGTCCAATGTACTATATAACGCATAACCCTATCTTATATGCGTTATAGTTTAATCAAAAAATTGCAATGAGCAAGAACTAGCCTTGCTTTCCTCTTAATTTCGATGTTGCGTACATTTTTTGGACACCCTGTACAAACCACTTACTCACAAACATCTTTAAAAGGTATAACTTGAAAAAAACAAAAAAAAAAAAAAACTTTTTTTTCCTAAAATGCATAACATGCATTTACAATGTCGCAACAGCAAAAAGAAAGCATCAAAGGCTACCTCTATGCAATATGTATGTAAATTCCTCTTTAAGCGAAATTCATATTTCTTGCATTAAATATGCATTTAAAAAGAGTTACTTCAAGCTGCACATGCTTTGTTTTTGCACAATCAATTGTACGGTTCCAAGGATTTTTCAACTTAAATTGCACTTTCAAACTATCCCGAAGGCAAGTGGAGTTTTGCAATTTTCTTGGAATTTTCTGAAATTTTCTGAATTACTTTGCACTTATTTTGTCTTAGGCTAAAGAAGCAAATAAGTGTAAATAGAAAGTTAACTCGAATCCAAATTGAGGGAAAAAGGGCAATTTGTTGTTGTTTACCTGTTTGCTAGAATCTGTAATGTGTCTCTATGTTACACATTTTATTATTAATAAATTATTATAATTAAACAAGTAATAAATGAAAAAAATTGAATGACAAGTTTTCGGTTCCCACAAACACATCGAACTTTGACACATCGCTGAAATATAATTTTAATAAACTCATTATTCGAAGGCCGTTTTGTGACATTCCATCCCTCCATCATCCACTTTTCGAACTTCCCCCAAAGTCTTTACGAAAACTTAAAATCTGCCCTTTTTTTTTTTTAATTTGCTTTTCTCTTCAAGCTCAAGCTTGGCATATAGAGATGTCTTCTTAACGCCTAAGAATTTTCATACAAAATACTTTTTGAAAAGAACGAAAAGAGCGTGAAAACCATTCTCATGAATGTAATTAATTCTCTCATTCGTTGCTTATGACAGATGTTCATCAAGACAAGTCTTACACATAGCCAGCGTATATCTCAAAATACTCTGGAAAAAATCTCCACCTCTGCAGAAGTTTATGCCAGCAGGGTCTTGGCTGTAGTGAGTTAAAATGTAATTGTGTTAAAAAAATTTCTCGTCTTTGGGTTATTACAAACTTTTCAAAACTATATATTTTACAAAACTTGGGTATATATGTTCAGGAGATGTGCGCATGCAAGCACAAGATTGCAATGAATATCATATTTTAAGTTTTCTTATAAATTTCAGGAATCGTTTGTTAATTTATATGAATTCATAATGAAACTTTTGCATATAAATCAAAACTCTGCAGAAATCCTTGAACTGACAACAATAATTTAATATGTATGTTAAAGGTGCATGTATGCTTCAAAGTTGCTTGTACGTGTTTATAGTATAACCTATATCTCTCTATAAGCCCAAATAGAAGGAAAAAAGAACGTAAACAGGAAAATAAGAAACTATACACTGTACACTTACACTTACTTACACTAAATCCTTTCGCTAAGTATGGAAAAATCGTTCGTTTTCTTTGTATTGTTCGAATACAAAATGTATAGGTGTTTTCCGGAGATCACATGGAAATCGCATACTATATGTGATCATACGATGCTCTCTCTTCTTCTTCCTTCTTTATTTAACTTGTATGCCATAGATAAGGAAGTCTATATATCAAATTACTCAATAACAGCAGATATGTAAACAACAATTAAGAATGTGGTTGCGTGTATGCACGCATACGTAAGTGTATTTACATATGCACTACACTTGTACAACTGCACTTCACTCGCACTCAACACTATTGAAAATAGTCATCATCAAGTAGATGAACTGTAAAAAAGTGTCGCGTAATATAAACACAAATGTTTTTAGTGAAAAAAAAAGAGTGTTATCAAGAGCAGCACATTACTGTATATGCGACCCTTGATATGCAGCAATAATTACAAGAGACTAAACTTTATTGCTACACATTTTCTATATATAATATATTTACACAAAGTCAGAGAGAAAAAATCGTATCCTTTACACACACACGCGGCCACATAGAAGATATGTGATGTGAATGACATAAATTTATATATATATATATATATATATATATGCATGTATATTGAGTAAAGGCGCGCGTAAGCTCAACTATGTGAAAACGCCTTACTTTGAATCGTTAAGCATTAAATATGTAAGCCATCAATCACATTATTTTTTACTTCGCGGTACAAAAAAAAAAAAAAAAAAAATCGTACTTTTTTTCACACAATCCACGTTCTTTATCAAGTAGCATATGATTTTTACTAAAAGAATTTTTTTTTAATCGAAATTCGCATAAATGATTCTTTTTTTAATTTTTTCAAAAATTTTTTTTAACAAAATTTTTTTCGAAATTTTTTTTTTTTCGTATTCCTGCGTACCCGCGTAGATATTGCTTTTTTTCTTTTCTTCTTCTTCTTCTTCTTAATTCTGTTTAATTCTTTTTGTGTTTTTTTTTTTTTGTTTTTTTTTGTTTTTATATTTCTCTACAAAAAATATTTATCATTTTTGTTTAATAAATATTCTTGAAAGCCATTTACATTTTATTGCGTTTATTTGTTTCACGTACCTTGTGCTGCGGTAAACTAATATATTGTTGATAATGTCGCATTTATCTTACCGAGGTTACTGTTATGACTTTTTGTCAGCCAACCTGCTAGCCAGCTTAAATCCGATTCATTACGGATAAAATGCATTTACTGAAAGTACGTAACTAACGTTGAAATCCTTTCTCTTTCCATTGGATAAAGTAATCAAGTGCGGAAACTCTTATCTTTGCTCTGAAATACTTAAGAGAGAAATCGTCCATTAACATAGCATAGCAAGCATAAAGAGACATGAACTCTCATTTTTTGCATCGAAATTTCATCTTTGTTTTTTCCCCCCCCCCCTACACATATACATATAAAAGTTTGTTTAATACTTATCTTTATATTTATGTTAGCGTGTAGGTGCTTTATCATCTTTATATTTTATAGATATTTATGTATTTTATACACTGGATAGTTTGAGATAAATTGACACCTTCGCCAGTTATATGCTGACGTTGCGACCGGTCGTTAGACGTAAGAGGGAACAAAGTATTTTCCTGCTATTATCTTTTGTCAATTTTGCTATTCCGAAGCCGTGAAGCACATCAATTTCTATGCTTGTTAAGTCGCGGAAAGCACAGACAATAAAATTCCTTGTGGCTTATGACCTCACTGTGATATCGCCGATAATATGTTCGTTAGCCTAATTATTGGAGTTAAAATGAAAAGAAGTGAAAAATTATTCTTTTATTCCTTTCGTAATGGAATCACTCGGGCTCAATCTATCTGCAAATCTCCACAGTTCAGTTTTCCAACTCTAGCTTAGCTGTTTGCGTTGCCACACAACCATATAGACTGAATGCAACTATGTATCAGTGCATAATATTTCCAAAAAATTTTACAATACAGGCGCAACAGATGCAGGCTTTCTCTGGGTACGCAGCATTTACTGGTGAAATTTGTGACGTTGTCTTACGTACATTTCGAAATGTCAGGCATCTGTGGTCTTGGGACATCTGTGGTTTCCGGGCATATAATAACAATGAAAGCTGTAAGCGTAAGGTTAAGTAGTGTGCTACATATTGCATAATACCTTTGAATCGATAGCTTTGAACGATAGACTCGCACTTCCAACGGCTTGGTTCTACTTTTATTTTTTATCAATTGCAATAGAGAACGTAGAGTGAAACGTACCGTGGATCCGTTGCTGCGGCTCTATTGAATAGAAGTAAGCGTGAAAACGTGATTTGGAAATCAGGAAAGCTAAATAAATCATTTCAAAAAATAATGCCATCTCTTAGCAACTAAGTATCGAGAGAAAAGTTGCTTTGTTATTTAAAAGGCATGAAAAATTCTTGTATTACGTTAGTGGTTGCATGTAAAAAATTAAATTACCGCAGCCGCCCCATGAGCGACATCACAATGAGGTCGCATAAGTCGCAAGAAATATTTTTGTTTGTGGTCTTCTTGCCTTAACAACTTTGTTCTATAACAAAATTGATATAGGGAGCTTTTGTCGTGAACCGCAAATTTGCTTCAAAATTTCCAAAGCTATGACGAGAAAATGTTTTGGTTTCTCTTAACGTTACTGAACAGCGACAACATCAGTATTCGACCGTAAGTTTTCATACTAGTGATGTTTTCGTCGCATTCCATGCAAGGCTTCAATTTATGTGAAATATCCAAAATTTGTAAATAATACGAAGGTTTACCTATAGGAATGAAGACAAACACTTTAGTAGTAAACAAACAAAAGGTCTTGTTACAAAGGAAGGGGTGATGGACAAAATAAAAATTATGGAAGATGCAGAAAGAAAGCTAGAGCTGTATTGGGAACACTTTGTCTCTTAAAAAAAAAAAAAAAAAAAGGTTTGCATAAAAAGACAAGTAATAAAGTTATATTCGGCGGGAGTCGTATCTCGCATACCCACCATTATGTTTTTCGCCTTGTGCTGTCTAAGTTCTTTTATTTGATAGCCATATCGCTGGTATTATTAAAAAAAAATTAACCGCAGTGTCGACCGTATTCATTCTAAAATTTACCCACAGCATAGTTTTAAACGTTTTATCTTGTTTGCCTTATGATAAATGAGCATTAAACCGGAAAAACGTGAAAATAATGAAATTTAATTATTCTTAACTTTGTATGGACACAACCGATTGATTCTATTTTTGGACCTAGAGAGTAAAGTATCATAGAGCAAAGCAAATGTGGAAAATTTCAGCGTTTTAACTTTAATAATTTCCGAATAACGAGCAAAAATCCAAAAATTTTTGCTAAAAAAAACTGAGTTGCTTTCAGTTTACATCCCATTGCGCACTTTTGCTGGGACCAATTTGGCCCATTTTCAATACCAATCTTCCAATGTTTCTACCAAATTTGAAGATGTTGTTTCAATTTTTAGAGATCAGGAGTGTGCCAACAACATACAACATAAGACGGACGGACATGGCTAAATTAACTCGGAATTTTAAGCTAAATAAAATGAGTATAATCCCCTATCTACAGTGGTGAATATTTATATTGATAATATCTCTTTAAGAAAAATGTGGCCTTCATAGAGCAAATTAATTCAATTTTACTCTAAAATGAAAGAAGAAAGAGTTTTCGGAGAGTGAAGCTTAACGGAAAATTGTAGTTTTATGTAAACTTATATTTATATTTTCTACAGAGGCAAAGTTAATGCTATTCGCATATGGAGTAAACAGGGAATGATACTTGTCGAATTGAAGTTTATATGAAGATGTCTATTATTTTCCTGGTAGTAAACAGTTACAAATGAAGATTGAAACATTATTTCAATTATTCGATGCTTGTACATCTCTTGGCATTTCCTTATGGCAATGTTTGTAAATAATTCATTTTTTACATCCATTACCGAACGATGAGGGGTATATTCATTTTGTCAAAATGTCTGCAACACCAAAAAGGAAGTTTTCAGAGATCACATAATGACCACATATTATTCATTAGTGTGAAATGTGTATCGTTCCAAGTCCTAATTTTTGTCAGTCCGTTTCTCCATCTGACTGCTAATTGCTATGATAGGCATATGCGTGAATGCAAAAGTAGAGATATTTGCTTCAGACACACGATATAAAATTCCACTTTGATTGTAAGAAAATGGGAAAAACTAGCCACGCCCAATCAAAGTTATACAATAAGAAAATGTAGTTTTTCTATTTTTGTTTTTGTTTTTGTTTTTTTTTTTTTTGGAAAAACGAGGATGGGTATAATAGATTCGGCCCCAGGTGAATATGATTTTTTTGCTCTTTCGTTTTGATCATAATTCTTGATAAATTTTCGCCTTGACCCTTAGTGATAAACAATGCATGTCGAAAATTTCATGTCAAATATATTATGGCACTTAAATTTATGATTTATTTATAACTGAAAAGCCAACGACTGAACGCAAAAAGTCTTGCAAAACGAAAGAATGGTGAAAAAGTTTCTCCTCGGCGCTTATCAAATATCATATCATAATCGTAAGCTTAAATTTCTTCAGTCCTTAAAGAATACGAGCAATGAAATTTTCTCCCCCTTATACTCTTTTTATTCATGGCAGCAAAAAAAAAAAAGGGAAAAAGAAGAATGTATGCACTATTTAACTTTGAAAAATGCGGGATGGCAAAAACTGTACACGAGCTGTTCTTTCATTGTTTTTTTTTTTTCTTTTTTTTTGTGTGCTTTTTTTTTTTTTTTAAGTAAAATGAAGGAAGATGTATAAACATATGCAATGAAAATATAAAATTTATGCATACACACATGAATTATGCACAATATAAATAAAAAAAGGTGCATTTTTTATTACCTAAGTAAGAAGAAGAAGTGAACAAAAGAAGACTTGTACTGGAGTTCGGGTTCGGTCGGCTTCTGGCTCACTTCATGCGAAACCAATTAGTTATACGCGTTTTTCCGCGATTTAAAAAATGTATCATTTAATCTGCTGATTGACAAAAGGATTAAAGAGAGGCAATCGAACCATGAGACATTTTAAAAAATTTACTTAATGCATAGTTTTTAGGCGTTACAGCGAGATAACTAAATGTTCTAATCCCACTTTAAGGCGAAGACGAAAGTAGAGAGCAAAATTTGGGAAGTTTGGAAAATTATTTCACCCGTGTGGGGTTCTCTCGACAGTTCAAGAAAAACGCACAAAATTATCTTAAAAGTAATGAAGATTTTTTTCCATTCCTCTAGAACGTTCCAACCATCTATTAATTCAATAAGAAAAGGTACATTTTTTCCGAAAAATCTAGAGCCGCTTTCCCCTTTGGGCCGTTAAAAAAAAAATTGATTTTCTAAAATGTTGACTATAAATACTATTGTAACGTTTTTCATCAGCCCAAAAACTATTTCAATAATTAGTCTTTTGCTAAAATGTATCAACAGAGTGTTAAATCAACAGACAATATTATAACATATATAATAACACATATATAATATGAAATTATTTTAGTATCGCTAATTGCCCTTGATCTAAGTATTATTGGTGGAAAGGAGTGCAAAATATATTAATTAGTTGAAATTAAAAGTTTTTCTAACTAATGAAATATTCCGTTTACTCAATAATTTACATAACATGTACAACTCATATAAATTTTTCAAATATTATATCATTTCTCCTCTCCCCGAATACTATTTATAGAAAAAAAGCATGA